CCCCCCCCCCCCCCCCCTCAAGCAATAGGCTGGGAAAACACTTTGAGACACCATTGGCAAAGTAGAAAGGAACCATTGGACATCGGTGATCGGTCCTGTGGGAACAATGCCCGGTCCTCTCGAGGACGCATGGTCAATGGTCTAACCGCTAAGGCACACAAAACATGACTACCCCCCCCTCCCCCCGTTTTTTCAGTCTGCGGACTCGCCTGCCCATGACGTTCGGCTCGTATACCACCGCAGAGAGCTCGTTCCTCCCCTTCTCCTTAACGTACTCCATCGCGGCTGAGTCACGAGGATCCACCCTGTGGTCCAGCTGGCGGAACTCTGTCCCCAGCAAGTTCGGAAACATGCACCCCAAGTACACCTGCAAGAAAAAATCGAGTCCGATTTTTCAAGCAAAAAAAAATGAGAACAAGCAAGAATGAATCCCAAGTACTCAAGAGATTAATTGTTCCGATTTCACACAGAAAACAAAGGAGACAAACTAAGCCTGTATCTATACCTGGAAAAAAAGTTGTTCCGACTCCAATTTTTGTTCAACAAGAGAAGGAAGCAACGGAAGGCGTTCTCGATGCTGTCTGGATGTAACGAGGAGAGTATTGGCGACAAGGAGTTGATCATGTAAACGCCATATTCTTCCTTCGGCAACCAAAATGTAACACCTTTGAGATGCTAAAGCAATATCCTTGGCAAACAGAAAGATGACAGTCCCGCCGTGCACGAACACAAAAACCCCACACCAGCACGAACTAACGCTCGGAGAGTGCTCAACGAGTACACAGCACCCAGTATCATGCCAAGCTAACCACAGTCTCCAAAAAACGTTGGGCCATTACTTTGAAATCGAGAGAAAACATGGCCCCTCCAATATCAGAGGATTGCCACGCGGATGCGAAACGTGGTGCGTGTTCGATGCGGATTGCCATACGGATGCGACTGCGGCTACAGGGTTGAGCCATTTATTTTGACATCGATAGATAACATGGTGCCTGTCCAAGATCATGCAGATTGCCATGCGGATGCGAATCGCCGGTTCGACTCACGGCGCTGTCCGAACTGGTGGGGATGTCCTTCAGCTCTCGAAGGTGAGTGTCCTGAAGAGTGTGGAAAAGCATCGGCCCTGCATGACGAAGCACCGCGGACGGAAGACCAGGCCCGAGAAACAGACAAGAAAGTTAGTAGGCCTAGAGAACGACATCCAGTTGTAGATCCCGCACCAGCCACACTGCCAAAGCCAAGAAAGCCTTGGAGACCCAGGAACCGATGCGCGTATGAAATGAAGGCTGTTTGGCTAACAGAAGCAAGGTATCTCGTGCAAGTGCCCGTGATACGTACACACCCTAGACTGACTTCTAAAAGGTCAACTGCTCTAAGACCAGAAGGCTTCCAATGCCGACAAGGGTGGTGGAGGGAAAATCTCGTCGAGAGCGACCTTCGTACGCGCCGGTAGTTTGTCGAACCCTGTTCGTCGTGGTGGACTCATCTTATCGGTACTCTTATGTTTTGCATGCCTTAGCGGTTATACCATTGACCACGCGTCCTCGAGAGGACGGAGCCTTGTTCCCACAGGACCGATTATCGATGGCCAATCGTTCCCTTCTCTATTTTGCCAAAGGTGGCTCAATAATGTCTTCCCTACTCTGTCTATCCTCATCTTATCGGTGGTGGATTAATCGGGCTTTGAAAGGTAGTCCAAGGTGTACTTTTGTATTGACTCGTACTGCAAACGGTAGAACCGGCGAAAAACGAGAAAGGAATACACTAACGCCAGCATCACCACTAGTCAAGACGAGGCCTACTCTGCCGGGGGAGACAAATGCCACCGGCTAGGCCTAGCTCAAAGCATCGAGAGAATCGCAGATACGCACATGATACATGGTCCCACGATTGTTGCTCGTGGGGCCGCAGTTTAGTGCCGTTGTGGATGGACAACATCTCCCAATACTTCAGACGTTATGACAAAAGGCAGGCCAGCATGCTGTCACAATCACGCAAGTAGCCGCGTACGCGAACAAGAGCAACATCAGTCGCACGCTAGGGCCGCGTACCACACGCAAAGACCATGCTTCTTTCTTCGCGCCGCCACAGCTGCAACTGCTGCTCTACCTTGGAGGTTTGCGTCGACAGAGCACGCTAGAAGGAACTCCCCCGTGTCGTCCCTGTTCAAGTGGAATGATGTTACGTGTTCGCCTCGATGGCGCTCCAAGGAACAGTACACCTGACGCAAGGACATATCACATGATGAAACATGCCGGCAAGGAAGAGCCACACACATCGATCATTCACACGGTCAAGGCATTGACAAACACATCAACCCGTCCTACCAAACATGTGAACAGACGTAACGCCATCACCAACTCGAACTTCTCTTGAACACCACCACCATCACCATCTTCCAGAAACCAAGACAAAAAACACGGTACAGTCGACCCCGCCCTAAGGACGCACATGGTTTTTCCTGACAAAAAGCGTCCTTAAAGCGTGGTTGCGTCCTTAAAATTCAGGGGACCATAGCTCACCATCCCCGGGGCCAATGGAGGCATGCTATCCCTCAACTACGCGTCTTTTGCTAAGGAAGGGGGTGGTAGGAAAAGTCAGCATCGCCGAGACGACTGGTAACCGTTTGTTGACGTCGAACATATTTACAATACTTGAGATGAGATTTACAGCACTCGGGACGTGTTGAAAACAACTACAGCACACCAGTTTGTACTTGGTCAACTAATGTACTGCATAGCCGGCAGCGGAGGAAGGAGGAAAGTCCAAGTAGACATATATTTATCTCATTCTTGTGAAGCAAAAGAAAAACGAGCGTACTTCAGCGTCGCACCGAGGAACACCACTACCTATCACTGTCCCGGCGGAGACCAAAAGCTACCCTGATGGCTTTTCCTTCCACATATATATCGCGAAGAGTTCCCTGAACCTCCCCCCGCGGCATGGCTCTACGGCTCTGTTGAGTTTCATGAGTACACGAATGAACGGTCTTCGAAAGAAGGTACTGCGTCTCACGGTACTCGCCACCCCTTTCCTTCGCGTACAAATATAGATAGCACCCGCAGGTAAGAAACATTCTGTTCAGAAACAAGGCTCAAGTTTGTACGAAAAATACGCAAAGAGGGCTAAGAAACNAAGGTACTGCGTCTCACGGTACTCGCCACCCCTTTCCTTCGCGTACAAATATAGATAGCACCCGCAGGTAAGAAACATTCTGTTCAGAAACAAGGCTCAAGTTTGTACGAAAAATACGCAAAGAGGGCTAAGAAACATAGCTCAATCTCGGCCACAACGTAAGCAACGCCCCAATAAGAAACGTGATGGTGCGATACCCCCATGACATCAGAAATCTGCGGTGCTCCCAACCCCCTCCCAAGCTTAACACAAGTGCATTATTTGTAGGGGGCAGAGTCCCCCCCCCCCCCCCCCCCCCCCCCCCCCCCCCCCCCCCCCCCCCCCCCCCCCCCCC